CTTCGTTCAGATGCCAGCTCAGGACTCACCTTCTGGGACACTGCTTCCTCGTCTGTGAAATGGAGATAATAATACCCTACCTCACGAAGTTGGTGGTGAGGAGGATTAAAACCCACGTCTGGGGAGCACTGAACACAGTGCTTGAGACTCAAAGAGGGCTTGATTAATGGGACCTTCCCATCCTTATCTGCTGAGGGAGGACTCCCCAACTGGACAGCCCTAGGCTCCCATTTCCATTTGTTCTCCCCCACCTCCGAGCAGCCTGCACCCTTCCTGCTGACACAGGTCACTCGGAGCTTGGGGTGTGAAGGTGGACGGGGTAGGGGTAAGAGAATGATAGGGAGCTTCTAACACGTGTGGAGATATGAAATGGAAAGAGAATGGCATTGGCCCATGAACATTCGGATGCCCCCTCCTCTCCTACTAGCTGGAATGAGAAGAAGGGAGGACTAAGAAAGAGGTCCCCAACCTTGACAGTGTGGAGCGTGTGGCGGCCTTTGATCTTCTCCTTAATTCCTCAAACTTGCCCCACATGCAGATTCTCCTCTCTCTCCATCAAAATGTAGCGAGTGGATGTAAGGGACAGAGAGAACTGGGGGGTGTCTGGGGAAAATTATAGCCCCCCTTCCCCAGTCCTTGTTGTCCAAGCTCTGGCCCTTGAGGGCTTCCCTGGCAAAGATGGCTGTGTCTGGGCAGAAAGCAGAGAAGTGGCAGCCCAGAGTGGGTGGGGAGAATCCCAGCTAGAGAGAGAGAGGCAGAGGGCCAGGGTGGAGTGTCTGGCTGCTTCCCAGAAGGCTCCAGCATTCCCCAGCCCTCCGTGTCCCCTGGAAAAGGTCCGCTCCCCAAGGTAGAGAGCCAGCAGACAGGTCTGAGCTGGTCTGCCCCTCCGCAGACAGAAGAGAAACAGGCTGGGAGAGGGGGCCCAAAATATTGTTGGGTGGTGGTGGTTGGAACCCCCATGTCTCCTCAGGGAAGCCAGGACCTGAGGGGCTAATGCCTGGGCACACCCCATCATAGCCTAGGGCTCAGCCACTTGCCTGCCTTGGACAGTCCACTGATATTTGGAAAGTGAGGGGTCTGAGTCCCCAGGTGTGAAGATGGTGCTTGCCCACCTCCTTCTTCCTAAGGTGTCAACATTAGTTCTCCACTTCCCCTCCCCTGGCTGGGCAGGTTCAGGCCAATCTGTTCAGGAGCTTCACGGCAAACATTGATCTGTAATAAAGCCACAATGTGTGTTCAGGAGGAGCAATTCCAGACGCAGAGAGATCCAGACAACACACACACACACACACACACACAATGACTTGGAAGGGCAGACACCAACAGTACCCAAAACACAGCTAGATCTGGACCTTTGCTGCGTCCCCTAGGCAAGGATTTTCAGTCTGTGCATTCCCGCCCTGCCTTCTATGTTGCCCTTCAGAACCCAAGGCTTCTCTGGCAGTTCATTTGCACACTTTCCCCATAGCGCTTTGTACATAGCTCTATGATCACACTTGCATTTGGTGTTATAAATATTGGCCAAGTCTTCTCCTCTGGCATTCCAAAGATTTCCTGAGGTCGGGGTTCTTGTCTTCTGTAAATGTGCACGTATCCCCAGCACTGGGCATGCAGCTTAACATTTCGGGAGTACAGAAGGTGCCCAGTAAGTGATAGTGAGCAAAAGAAGAAATGTATTCTGACAGTGGACACCCATTCCCAGAATCCCTGAGAAGCACACAAGATAATCAATGCATGCTGTCCATGAGGCCAGCCTGGCCTTCTTGCCTCCCGTTCCTCTGACCCGACTGCTTCTCCATTTCCTCAAAAGGCCCTCTTTGCCCCTCTTCCCTCAGTCTGGAACCAAGAGCCTGAGTTCCACCTGAGAGTTGGCAGGCAAGGTAAGGGTTAATGACACCTCATTAATGTTTAATTGGAGGAAGGAAGCTGCCCTGGCACCAGACAGGTGGGCAGGTTTGCCCCTTGCTGAAAGCAGGCATCCCTATTTCCAGCACCCTGCAGGGGTGTGTGGGTGATTTGGCCCTGGAGACCCTCAACCCAGCTGGGGCACCTGCCCCTGCCATTTGCTTTGCCAATTTAGTCTCCAAGCAGTACAGACCAGCCCTTCCCATCTGTCAGCAAGCATCCTGAGGGAGAGGCCAACTCCTCACCCTGCCTCCTCTCACCATGTTTCACCCCCACCGGCCCAGGAGACACTGGAGGCAGGAGAGAGGGGTGGGTTGTGGGCTGAGCAACTGGGGGGAAGATTTGCCAGGCAACAAGGGATGAATTAGGGATACAGGCGGTGGTGACAAGGCTGGGGATGTGATGTCTGCCCAATTTGACCTTAAATGAAGAGAATGCAATTAAGATGCAGACAATATGCAGATGAACACCAGGAATTCAGAATTGACATTCCGGGTGGCAGCAGCTCCTCGCCCAATACCCCAGTGCTGTCGCCAACACCCTGCTGCCAGTGGCGCTGACCACTTCTTAGAAAGGACTTCAAGAGGGTGGCAGGACCTGGTAAACTCAACGCCTCCCTCGCCCCCACTCCAAGTACCCACTCAAGCTGCCACAGCAGCTCCAGCAAAGACCACTCTCGGGGTTACGCTCGGACGCACCGTCGGTTGCTATGGGGACTCCCCACCCCGACCGGGCCTGAACCAATGGGCATCACCGGTGATGACCTCATGCCCCAGGCCCCAGGATTCTATTGGCTATTTGGGAGCCAGCGTGCACCCTCCTCAACTGTGTCACCGCTGGGGATCCCCCCGACGACCCCAGCTGGTCTGGCCCACTCAAAGAAAGGCGCCCCAGGAGCTCACCCATTGCTGAATGAATGAATAAGGGAGAGAAAGAGGGAGCTAATGAAAGGGAAGAACAAAAGAAAGGGAAAAAGAATGATTTGCCGTCCCTCCAAGTGAGGAGCAGGCTGGTGGCAGAGGCGCAGAGACTCGGGCGCTCGCTCGGAACAGGGAGATGGGGTGGGGCAAAGATGAGGGAAGCTTTTTCATCTGTTCGGGAGAGACTGGGGCAGATCCAGCAAATTGAGGGCCCCACCCTCGGCTGCCTACCACTGCTGAGGTTAGGGGAAATCGGTGACGCCCCAAAACTTGCAGGCCTGCCTAGCCTCCTGGAACCGCGCCCCAGAATGCGCCTCGAGGACTTCTCGTGGCCAGGGCTCGGTGCCCAGGAGACCGCCCAGTGCCTTCAGCTGGTCCAGCCCTAGCAGCCGCCTGGGCTCTCCGTGGGACGCGCCCCGCCCGGGACGGCGGAGGCGCCTTGCGTGGCCCAGGCTGTGGGGAAAGCGTACGTAGGGAGAAGGCAGGCTCGGTCTGAGCGTCTGCGGCCTGGGGGCTAGGGGGTGTCTGCGTGTATGACGCCCCCGTTCGTTCCTCCAGCCCAGCTCCTCATGCATGTATGCCCCCCGCAGCCGCCGCCGCCGAGATGTCCGCCCTTGCGCCCGCCCGCAGGGAGCTGGGCGGCGGGCGAGGGCGCGTGTCTGAGTGCGCTGAGAGCCGACTGGGCCCCGTGTCTCTTTCGCACATGCGTTATCAGTTCTCAGATCGCGCGCCAGCCCCAGACCCGGGAACGAGCGCCATCCCCCTGCCCCCCCCGCCTCGGTTAGCAAAGATGGGTGTCAGGGCGGCTGGGAGCAGATTCTCCATCAAGGCCAGGGACTGGGAACTGTCGGCCCCGCCCCAGGTTTCATTGGGAGGGGTGGAGGTAGCCGGACAGCCGGTTTCCATGGCAACATCCAGATTAGATCCTAGAAGCCGGTAAAAACTGAACTCGAATCCAGGACCGGAAGACGGAGTTTGCAGCTTGGCACCTTCAGCTCCGGCTGCAGGCTCTTCTCGGGGGGGGGCCCAGCCCCTCGCCCCCGCTACAGATCTGTTTGCAGGGAGGGATCTGACATAGGAATATGCAGGCGCACGCACGGCAGACAGGGCGTTTTCTCAAAGTGGCCCCAAATAGCAGGGAGGGGTCCACAACTCCAGCCTGTCCCGCCAGCGGGCTTTGCCTACCCCCACCCTTGGAGCAATGGAATTAGGGAGAACCGCTAAGGACCTTAGTGGGGTGCTTGGTGGTGGAGGGGGATGGGCGGAGTGTTCTCACCGCCTTAGTGAGTGATCAAGAGGTCAGGTCTGACCTAGGGATACAATGGGGTAGGAGAGGGCCTCCCACTCTCGGGCATTATGGTGCCGGCTCCAGACACCCCTGCCCCCCACCCCCACCCCGTGTTCACACGCCGACTCTCGCTGCTGCAGCCGGGCGAGCTAATCAGCACAACATCCACCTATCGATCCCTGGCTCAGTGCCAGACGGGCTGGCTCGGTGCCAGGGGAGCCTGCGGGGTACCAGGGCGGCCAGAGCACAGCGACAGGGGGAAAGGAACACCCCTTACCCTGGCTCTACCCAGGGCACCATTTATTAGGGATCCCGTTGGGTTTGGTGGAGAAACACCGCATCTGCTGCCAGAGATGGGAGAGCCAGTGTAGGGCTGTGAGCAAAGGGGGCCCCCCTCCCTCCTCGGCCCCACCCCCTCCTCCTTATAAAAGCGGAGAACAAAGAGGCCGCTGGGGAAGGCGGCTTTGATCTGACCCCACCTTCCCAGTTCTAGGCCAGGCTGGCCCAGTGTGCCCTCAGGAAGGAAGGGGGTATGCCCAGCTCTGAGGGACCCAGGCATTCTGAAACCCAGGCACTGTCTGTCGACCTCTTGCTTTTGCCCCACAGCCCTCCAGCCAGGGCTTGAGCAGTACCCTAAGCAGCCAGGCCCACCCGAAGAGGCATCTGCCCCTCTTCAGCATAGGAAACGCTGGTACGGAGGCGGGAGGTACCAAGCTCCACAGCTGCTGCTGGCACCCCGCCCACACAGAGGGGTGCCCAGTGAGGCCTGGAATGGGTGGCCAGGGCACAGCTGCCAAGAAGGTCAGACCAAGTCAAGCTGGGAGCATGGGCCCAAGAGTCCTGGTGTCGGGGAAGGGGCCAGAGGGCAGGAGGGTCGGGAAGGCAACAACAAGAGAGGTGGTTTATTCAGGGTTTGGTCCAGGCTCTTATAAAAATACAAACTGGCATAAAATTCAACCTCATAGCAAGTCCATCTTCACAGAAGACAAGAGAGTGACCCCCCCTGGGGAGGGCAAGGTGCTGCCCCAGAGCAAAGCCCACTGGACACGGGGCATAGACACCAGGCTTGGGCTTCTTCGTGGCCCTGGTCCAGCAATCCACCTGTCCCCAGGTCCTTGGCCCCCTGCTGGCTCAAGGATTCGATCCTGCCAAATCCTGGGGCTTCCAGGGGGATGGGGAGGGACCAGCAAAGCCACTGACGAGGACCTTCCAGGGTGCTCAGGGGTGTCTGCAGCGCCCCTGGCTAATCTTCAGCGTGTTACACGGGTCACTTCCGGCCCTCTGATTTCTGCCACCACTGCTCCAGCGTGTTGGTCTGGCTTGGCATTCGCAGCTCAGGTGGCAGGGGCTCTTCCTCCAGGGTGTCCTGACAGGGCACTGGCTTCTGGGAGTGGCCGGGAGGGTCCTCTCGGCTCAGAGAACTCGCAGGAAGCGCAGAATCGGTAGTAGCAGCAGCAGTAAGAGGCAGAGGGGGCTGGGCGCACCACCGCCTTGCCACCCCGAGGTGCCACTCTCTCCAGGGCTCCCAACAGGGTGGGCTGACTCAGGTTCTAAGGGGGAGGAGAGACGCTGATGGGTCTTCCCACTTCTGTAGCTTTCCTCCTGCCTCATCCCCCCAACTGTCCCCTCCTATGAGATTGTCCAGTGTATCCAAAACCAGCCACTCCCTTCCCATAATCTACCATTTCATCCTTTCTAACCTGACCTTCCAAGTCTCCCCTAAACTGCCACTAGAGACAATCAGGTGAGCTAAGGCCTAGAAGGGCCTTGCCCCTAGAAACCTAGAGTCCAGTTACCTCAGCCCTACAGGGGATGCTCCCATGGGGCTCAAGCTCCCACCTGGACCCTTCAAAGCCTGGTATACTCACAGTCTCCCCATCTCTTCCCTCCTTCCCAAGGGCCACACACTAGACAGGAGATGGTCCCCTTCGCATAGCCTGCCCCACTTACTGTTCTCTTTGCAGCAGACAGACACCTGGAGTCTCAAGCAATGGCCCGAACTCTCCGGAGTTGGCACCGCTGAGTGGTGGGAAACCGGGAGGAAGCAGTTAGCAGTTAGTACCAGGAGTCAGCGCCTTACGTGTGCCTCAGACTCTGAGCCAGACTCTTGTGGCTTCTGCTCTCTCCACTTACCTGGAATGCTTTTTCTTACTCAGGGGCCATACCCAGGTGCCAGGTGCCAGGCCCCAACCACTGCCCTGCTCACTTCCCCAGGCCCCTCTGGCTACCTCCCCATTCCCCCGACCCGCTCCACTCTACATCAGCTCTTTGTGGCTCCTAGATTTACTTCTGGGCTCAGCCCCCCTCGGAGTGGTGGGGACGCCAGACTCTCTATTCCCAGGCTCTCTGCCTTGCTTGGCACTATTAAGGAGCCATCTTCCTTGCACCCCCCCTCCCCCCCACTGCCCCCCACCAAAATAGGCAGGCGCTCAGTGTGCCCTTCCTCACTCACAGATGTAGTAGTAAGTCTCTCCAGGCAGAAACTCAAAGCCCAGGGAGAAAGGTGTGAATCGCTGAATCTTCTCTGAGAATCGCACAGGGCCGAAGGGCGCGAAGGGGCGTGAGCATTCCCAGCGTTTGAAGGCACCTGTCCCCTCTGCCTGGCAGGCCTCGTAGCCAGACCAGTCCACCATGTAGAGGGCAAATGTCTCTGGGCCTTCAGGGGGCCCTGGGCCTTCATAGTGCGGGCAGAAGATGTCCAGGTAATCGTTGAGGCCCAGCTCCACCACAGTGTCGCCTCGAAGCAGCCTGCAGGCACAAGGGGGGGCGGGGGCTGAAGTACCCCTCCCACCAGCCTCTCTCTCACCCACTAGAGAAGCCGCAGTTCAGGGAGGCCTGAGTTCCCCAGAAGACAGCTCTTGAGAAACAAAGGGACCGCAAGGACTGGATGAAGGGGCTGATTCAGAGCTGAGCAGAGGGAGGTTCTTGAGGAGCTCGGCGGGACCGCAGTGCTCACAGCACCGGGGGAAATGGGAGGCCAGTTGCCAACCATCCCTTTCTGTGCCCCAGCTGACAGCCACCTCGGTGGCTGACACAGGACCTGGCCTGGGGCCCGGGCTCCATCAGCCTGAGGTGGACAGACGCTGTGAAGGGGCCTGGGCAGAGAGGCAGGCAGGAGCCCACAGGGTGGTGAGACAACCCCCAAGATGGAGATGGAGGCTGTACCCTTAGTGAGGATGCAGACAGAAAGCGTGCCCTTTAGATCTCCATCCAGTAGGGAGAAGAATGCCCAGG